TATACTTACTAATTGCATTCTCTATAAGGTAAATGAGTTGTTGGTTTGAAGGCTACGCTCCGAATGCTGGAAAAAGCTGAACTAATGTAGTGCTGAGAGGAACCTTGAAGAGAAGGAATCGCTGTGGGAATAAATATTTTGAACTCTCTTTGGATCAGCTTGAAACTTCCAGTGGAAGGTTATTTCTAAATGTGATCAGCAAATCAGTTTTACTTGTCTTACAATGCGGCAGTAAAATTGGAAATTCCCACTAGAGAACATCTAAAGAAACTGTGTTAGATCTATCAATATGTATATACTCAGACTTATATACGTATTTTGTTCAAGGAGGAAGGTCCAACTTTGTTTCAAAAATTTGTTTAGGAAAAGCCTGATTTCAGCTTGGGGTATCCATCCATCCAGCCACCCACCCACCCACCCACCCATCCACCCATCCACCTATCTACCCAACTGATGACTCCATCCATCCATTCAACCAATCAAACTACTTACCTAAGCAAGGATTTCCAATTTAAACCTAACCTTTCCATTAAGCATTTTTAAACCTCTAATTATATATTTAATTTCCTAAAACCTTCCAAAAATATCTCTAATCAAAGGGAAAGCCTTGTCGACTTGATTATTCTTCGTAATTTCCTCCTGTAACTCCCTGTAAGACACCCATTGGATGGAAGTTTGGATAGCAGTCCATACTGAATAACTAAGTAACAGAATAACAGAGTTGGAAGGGACCCTGGAGGTCTTCTAGTCCAACCCCCTGCTCAAGCAGGAAATCCTATACCATTTCAGACAAGTGGCTGTCCAGTCTCTTCTTAAAAACTTCCAGTGTTGGAGTATTCACCGCTTCTGGAGGCAGGTTGTTCCACTGGTTAATTGTTCTAACTGTCAGGAAGTTTCTCCTTACTTCCAGGTTGCTTCTCTCCTTGATTAATTTCCATCCGTGGCTTCTTGTCCTGCCTTCAGGTGCTTTGGAGAATAGGTTGACCTCACTCTTCTTTGTGGCAGCCCCTGAGATACTATCATCTTGCCCCTAGTCCTTCTTTTCATTCATTCCTTCATTCTTTTCATTACTTTGCCTGCAGAAGTGCTTATGTCTTCAACCTCCATGTAAATGAGGCAAAATTTCAGCCAGAAACAAAGGACAATTGTTTTGCTATCCTGACAGCATGAAGCCAGACGATAATCTTCTTCATTCGAATATGGGCATGGAAGGTTGTAGCAAGGATTAATTTCCCCACAATGCCAATTAATTACAGCTAATGAACCTGGCTGTTAGGGGTAATTTATTAATGGGATCCGTAGGGACCAGTTCACCATTTTGCCATCCCGACAGCAGCAGGGAGCAAATTATCAGTGTCCCATTGATTATCTCAGTGCTTTTTGACCTTGGCAATTTTAAGCTGTATGGACTGCAATTGGCAGAGCTGGCTGGGGAATTCTGGGAGTTGAAGTTCATACAGCTTAAAGTTGTCAAGATTGAGAAACCCTGGAATATCTAAACCGTTGGCTCATAAGAAAGCAGCCAGCTTCTAGAGTGTCACCCATATTTTGTGCCGTGTAACTGCGGGTCACAAAGGCTGATAGCTTTTTCCAAGATGACATTTAGGAGCTTTTCAAACACCTCTTTGTTCCCCTGTGTGAAAGATTCAGATTAAAAATAACAAAGTCAATCTTTCACCCTGTCTGACATGGCCTTCTGAGAACTTCTGAGTCAAGAAAATCCTTTAGACCCCCCACGTGGGGTCCATTTTAAGCATTTATTTAGCTAATTTTGGACTCATTGGCAAAAACATTATTTCTTTGTCAATGAAAGCACAAAGGTTGCTCTAAATTCCCACAATTAATTTTTTTTAGACAGAAAACAGATAATTAGAAAACAGTGCTTCTCGTTTAGCTATTTTGCTTTTAAAGCATCAAGAGATCAGATGCAAAAATCAGTGTATTTTTGCATTCAGGCAAATCTTCTTCAAAGTTACCACTCTACCAATGAAGTTACCACCTTGGGGGAGACGAAAAAAAGAGGAAATCTCACATAGAGCTATTTCATTTTGCCGTAATTTGTTTGAATTCAATTACTAGTTGTATCTAGTGATAGAACTGTGCAAATACGTCACATCTATGTTGCATCAGCAAAACAGCCAGGCATAATAGAAAAGTCAATGCAGCCTGACTGATTCGGTAAAAAGCTATTTATTCCAAGATAACTAGCGAAGGAAAATACAATAATTTATTGCTACCCTAACATTCACCTATCTCCATAAGCATTAATATTGCAGAGAGAACAATGGGGAAATTGAAGCTAGTGGTTTCAATTGTGCTATATTTTGTGGGAAGACCAGAAATGGGGGGAAAATACTGAGATAATGAAAATGTGGTGATAAATAACTTTTCATATTACATTATTGGATTTTAAAACAACTTCGGTTTGAAGCTCTACCAAAATGAAATGGAAAGGTGTGGGTTTTTTTGTTGGGTTGGACTATAACAAAATAATTAAGAGGTTACAAGACTAAAAGGCAAATGACTTTATGTGGGGATGATATTTTTGTACTGGCGGTCCATAAGAAGTGGCTTCCTAACTCCTGCCTGAACAGGGGGTTGGACTAGAAGACCTCCAAGATCTCTTCCAACTCTATTATTCTGATATTCCTGTAGTATGGGACAATTACAGCGCTTTCAATCAAGATTTTGATAACTCTGATAATTTGGTCTAATAATGAAGAGTCTTATGTTAGAATAACAAGAATAAAAGGCTTGTGAAGCGCTCGTGAAAGCCTTGATGGTGGAACCACAAACTTGCAGCCTAGCACATGTCCATCCCCACAAATATTTTGTAACTTCCATACCTTATCTACTACTATGAGCTGTGTTTCCTGCTTGTGTAATCAAGTGAAGCTAAGAATCCTATATATGCCTGCTCTAAAATGTACTCAGGGTCCTTTCAGCTATATAGAAGATCCCACCTTTGTCCAATGCTGAATAAATGTGTTATCTATAGAGAGAATCTGGATTCTGCCTCTTTGTTCGCACTGAGCCACACCAGGTTTCCTGCTCCACAGTGATACCTCATCTGGGTGTCCATCTGTCATATCGTAGAGTGGAAGTAGCAAAATATTCCAGAAGCAAGGAAGCAATCATGCGTCTCTTCTAAAATGTGTCATGGAAGCTTCTCGAGGTGAACACGGTCATGGTAGACCTAGAATTCCTAAAAGAATCTTTCTTAGCCCAAAAAAGCCCAAATTTCCCTATGGTGAAACTGATACTCTCAACCCTATCATCTTTCCTTCTTCCTTCAGTTCAGTCTTCTTTCTTCTGTGTCTCTGACCTCTGCAATTCTGGTAAACATCTGTCTTGTTCTCTGGCTATTATGGAGCAGAACATAATATGAGCTTTTAGCTGTAGATAGGCTGTCGTAACTCATCTTTCTTATCACATTCAGGTTTTCTACATAAAACGTATATTTATTTACCCCACCCATCAGAACTAGGAGGCACAGAATGCTACAGGTCTCATCTCCTAAGGAGGTCCATCTCACGTGACCAAGGAAAAAAAGATGTTACTTCCACTTAGACAAGATGAGATTGAAGCTTTGTAATTTATAGAACACATATTGTTTTATATATATAGAATACACAGTATTGACTTTCCATACTATTTCCCCCCGACCTTTTCTTTTAAACCCAGTGTTTATGGATCAATTCACTTGACTATTATATCTTGCAACATCACATCAAATTACTGAAAAAATTATTCTTCTGCAACTTCTTTTCAAAGACGTGAAGAAGTCTTTCATGGGAAGAAGAAATTGTTATGACACACAATGCTCAACTCATAATTTTTCCACTTCAAATATCAGGGAAGTAGGACTTCTATTTGAATTAAAATAATGCTCTGCCAGAGCAGACTAATTGCAGGTTGAATTTCCAGGCAGGTAAAATTAGACTCGCTTCCATAGGGTTACTTAAGAATGGATGGAAATTTATTTTTGATACCATCCTTATGGATGTTGACCCCATAGCTGCTATGGTGGTGAAATCTCAAAGAGGTAAATTAAATCAGACGTTTCAGTATAAAACCGTTAAGTTTAAAACAACACTCTCTTTTTCTTTATTTCCTGCTAACGATCTTGTTTCTGCTTCCCAGCGTTCAGGTTTGGGCTATCTTTTATTGTGTAGTTTTGCAATTTATTTTGTAGTTCAGAATGTTCCCCTTCAGGATAATTATGTTTGAAGGAGAAAAGAAGGAAAAAATACTTATTCTAAGCAAATCTTCACTTCATTAGCATCAGGTTGTGTTCCTCTTCTTCCCCTCGCGGCCTGCAAATATGACAATTCCATTGCAATGTGCCCAACGAGGATCTCAGCAGGGGTGTGTTTCGATTGCTCAAGTTCGCCACCCTCCTTCCTTTATCCCACTGTCTCAAGTGCTAATGTGGCCAGGGATTCCTAATGACCAAAATGCTGATGTCAAATCTGCCATCTTCAACTTTTGTGCTTTGCTGGCATCCTGCCATAAAATGCAGGGGAGAGGAGCCAAAGGAATGTAGAGTAGCACGGATGAGCATGGGAATGGGAAGACAAGTGGCAGGAGGGGGGAGGCAGCCCTGACAGAAAACAGAGGTGCGAAAACTGGATCAAACCAGCCTTCAAGGTCACATGGCCTGAGAACAGAATGCAGCATTCCATTGACTGGCACCAACATCCAAACATCTGGACAGCATGCTATTGGAGACCAGTGAACTGGTCTAGCGGGGAGGGCCATGGAAAGGGGAAAAGTGTAACTTTTTGTGCGGGAATATTCAGATCTAGCCTTTTTTTTGCTGCAACCACTTAACCTTAGTAAAAGAACCTATCGCTTCAACCAAATGGAGTTGAGGGTCTTTCTTTCCTAGGGATCTGAGTTGGGGCAGGCCTGACAACTGATGTCAACTCTCCTCTTCTTCTCCTTGCTGGGATAACAACGCAACTCAGATTTCTTTTATGCTTTTTCTATTTATACAGCTGCAGGTGGAGGTCACTGATGTCTCTGGGAAGACCATAGAAGGTCCAGTTCCTTTTGATATTATCATCATTGATCAAAATGACAACAGGCCCATCTTCCGGGAAGGACCGTACATCGGGCACGTCATGGAAGGTTCTCCAACAGGTGAGTAATCCAGATACTTCTGGAATCTCATTTTGTAGGCCCTGATGATTTGGTGGACTGTGATGGAGAGCAGGAGGATCCAAGCTGGACAAAATCTGAATGACATTCAATGAGTAAATTCAGTTGAAATTCTGTAATTCAGTTGGATTGGAAAAATTGGTTTGGCTTGGTGATTCAAAGAAGGGAAGGGAAGGGAAGGGGATTTCCAATGCTCCCTGCCAGATTCCCACAAGGAAGGTCAATGGGGAAGCTGGCAGGAAGTCAGAAGTAGCTTCTCCTCCCGCTACTTTTTCCCCCACCTTTGGTCATTCTGTTTCCTGTTTAAGTAAGGAAATATCTCTGAAATAGACCCAACAAGATACGAGTTGTCTAATGAATTTTAGAGCTATTTTCACAGTGGAAAATATATTTTATTACAAGCTTGCAAAGAAAGAACCCCACTTTAAACATTTTGTTGAAAATTATGAGTTGGATCCTATCAGAAGAGAACATACTGTTAGTGGTTGGTCTCAAAATTTAACCATTGAAGCTTTATTTGGAGATTGGAACATTCCATTAAGAATCTGAGTTTTGAACTGTCTTGACATGTTTTAACAATAAGAACATTCTGTAATAATGAACTCATTAATCTGCAACAACACTTTGGATTTTTGTAAGATAGCTCCTTTATGCCGATGCTGTGTCATGTTTTATCTGCAGGAGTTCTGGTTTTAATGTTAGAGCTTCCCATCCCTGCTGTTTCTCCTTCTATTGTTGTCTTTTTGCCTTGCCTTTCGGAGTCT